GGGCTCTCCGGACCCGCTCGGATGGAGCCCGCTTGGCCACCACACGGCCGCAACTCTCATACGTCGAGGCCTGCGCTACATACACTTTTCCAATCTTCTTGACACCGACGCCCTTGCTCTCACCTCATGGTGCGATTGCATTCTCGCATTTGTGGACCACAATCTGTGCTATCACGGCACGTTGCTGGCACCATCCCTGTAACGTCTAGCCGAATCGCAAGGAACGATCGATAAGGAGGAGCCCCTGGATCCAATGGGAGCCACGGAAGGGAAGAGGACAGGAGGAGGGGGAGGGGCAGAGGAGGGGCATCCTCACAGTGTCTCTGCCCTTTTCAGGTGAGAGGCATCACACAAAACCTGCACCGATGTACATTTGTACTACTAGAGACGAGGTGGCGCGGCATATACTTTGAAAGATACCGGATCAAACTCCTGGCTGTCTTTACCTTTCGTTGGCCCGAGGCGTCCTTCTCTCTAACTGCGTGTCGCTTCTTCTCTCGCTTGCCTTGTCCATCTTGGATGTCCCTCCCTCATCATTGCTGTTTTTGGCTGACCATGCCGCAAGCCGCAGCACCCATCCGAAAGTCTTGAAAGTCTGCTTATTTCAGGGTCCAACGGGCGTGATGGCGGCTTGCATGTGCACTCGCCAAGGCCGCTTTGGAAAGGCGATCGCTGCCGCATCAGTCCAGTTATCATCATCCCTCTCGGGACTTTTCGACGGCCTCTCCTTGGTTCTCGGCGGAACCTTTCGCAGCCGCAACGAGGAACAAGAAAGCCAAGTCTCCACCATGACGGTTGGCAAACTGGGGCCGGATGGAGCCTCGTTCACCATGCTCTCTCTCAAACTGCCATCTTGGTTGGCGGCTGGCTGGGTGACTCGCTCATTTCTTTGCCCGGCCCAGCCTTTGCGCCGACCCCAATCTGAATCTCACCGCCGTCGCTCCGCTTTGTGCCCACGTTTCTTTGCTTTCAAACAGGCGCACACACATGCAGTATACTTTGGATATTGGGTAATGAGCTTATCCTGAACATGTACAGCTCCATCCTGTAGGAATCAGAATTCTCACCACCAGGTAAGGTCCTTGTGTCCCCCTCGGTGGAGCACGCAGGTCTAGGATCCAAAAAAACTTCTCATGCTACTTCGCCTCCACGTATCCACGGACCATGCACGACTCAAGAAACTCATCCCAGGAGTATCAGTCAACATGGGCCTGCGTTTGCCTGGTTTTTGCGGAGACATTCACACGTTGGAAAGAAAGTACTCCAGAAAGAGAGGTTAGCTATTAGAGTGAGACGTCAGCATCAAGTCAAGATGCTCTCATACCTGGACTATATAAGCCGGTGGTCCCCAGGACGCATTCTCAAGAGAATACTAATTGTCGCTTCATCATCTACTTTTCCGATTCACCAGCGCTTTTGACAGCTTTTTATCTTTGAAAGATTAAGCTCGGGTGCATTCTACTACTTATCATTTCATTTGATTGCGCACCAGGAAACTAGTCTGCTTTCTCCGTGCTCAACTCCCCTCCTATCGGTTATCAAACATGGCTCCCAACCACCGAGCTTCGTCCACGGGTAGCTTCATTGAAAGCATCGTCGCAGCCCGCAAGGAACTGGACAATCTTGCTCTAAGCACTCCCGAATCCTCTCTGGATGGCTCCGCCGGCGGCTCTGCTGGATCATCGGCCCTGGGTAGCCCTGCCGGCGCTCTGTCACCAGTCACACCCACAATCGACGCTCCTGTCGCTGACAGCTTTGCTTTCGCCTTCGATATCGACGGTGTCCTCATTCGAGGAGGTCGGGCAATCCCCGAAGCAGTTGAGGCGATGAAGGTGTTGAATGGCGACAACGAATACGGTATTCAGATGTAAGTTGTCAGCCCGCCACACCGCATGGCCCCACTTGTGTCCGCCACACCGTGGCTTTCCTGCTTGCCAATAACGGATGCTAACATGCATGATTTAACAGCCCGTACATCTTCCTCACCAATGGTGGTGGTAAGACGGAAGAAGAGAGGTGTGGTGATCTGTCTAAGCAGATGGAAATTGACATTTCGCCAGCGCAGTTCATCTGCGGTCACACTCCCATGAGGGAAATGGCCGAGCGCTTCAACACTGTCCTTGTTGTTGGCGGTGAGGGCGAAAAGTGCCGCGAAGTTGCAGAGGGCTATGGTTTCAAGGATGTTATTACACCCGGAGACATTATCAAGCACAACTCCGCGACAACCCCCTTCCGCAAGCTCACTCAAGACGAACTTACAAATTCTCGCGAAAGAGATTTTACCGATGTCACTATTGAAGCCATTTTTGTCTTCGCTGACTCCCGAGACTGGGCTGGCGACATTCAAATTATGCTCGACCTCGCCATGTCCAAGGGCGGCCGTCTCGGTACTCTGAGCGAAACTTTTGACGAGGGCCCACCCATCTACTTCTCCCATAACGATATAGTCTGGTCTGCTGCCCACGATAACGTTCGTCTTGGCATGGGCGCCTTGCGCCGCATGTTGGAAGTCATTTTCCGTGACGTTACCAAGAAGAAGGGCAAGTTACACACCCACGCTTTCGGCAAGCCCCAGGTCAGTACCTTCGAGTTTGCAACGAGATTGCTGCAGCAATGGCGTCGTCAGCAACACGGCTTGGACGCACCTCCCGACACCGTCTATTTTGTTGGAGACACACCGGAGAGTGATATTCGGGGCACCAACGCCTACGATGAGCATGCGGACAACGAGTGGCATAGCATCCTCGTCAAGACCGGTGTCTACCAAGATGGTACGGAGCCGGCTTACAAGCCCAAGGCTACTGTCGATAACGTCCTAGACGCTGTGCGCTACGGCATCCAGCGCGAGATCCGCAAGAGGGTTGTTACGTCGCTGAGAAAAGACATTCTTGGTGAAGAGGAGTGTCTGAAGGCTCTGCAATCGAAGGACAGTGCCGTTTTCACTCCTCTGGAGGAGCGTAACCAGCCAATCTTGGGTTAGTGTGGTCATGTGAACTTCGCGATCCCGGAGTTTAGTTGCTAGCGAGCCAATTCCTTCTTTTTCTAGTGTTGGGGCTAAGAGTCCAGGGTGCTTGTTTAGTTCGGGGGAAAATTGTGATACCACAGGCGTTTTCAAATCAACGAGTTATATGACCGCAATCTAGAGTTGTAAGACTAGCTACAGCAGAATACACGATACACAGGCGCCATTTGACGCTGGGGAATTTGAAGTATTTGGATATGTGCCGCCCTTATGACACGATTTATTGGTTTTCGCGCCCAACACCTGGCTATTATCGCCAAGCTTCAAAATGCTTGTTTATGGCACGATTTAGGGGGTCCATGAAGCTAAGTCATCTCTTGGCTGGCTTCGTTACAATATTTCACGCCGCTGCCGAACCATGTACATGATGTTTGATTGGCTTTGGGGGACTATGAAAGGTAATAAGACGGGATTGAGATGCCGAGAGGGTTCTGGTCCTACCCGTTTGGGCCGATGCCTAGCCTGCGCATCTCCGCCATGCTGCGGCCTGGCGCGGCGCCGTGTTATTGTAATACATGCCAAGTCCGGCCGGTGTTGGCGTTGGTGCATGTTCCCCCCTTTCGGCTACCTGGGCCGCCGATCCCTTTCCGCTCCGTGTTTTCCAAGTACACCAGCTCCGAGCTAACATGACTTGGAGTGCTGCAACGGCGGGTTGTTGTAGTAGGGTTTGTCTTCATGCAAGTGGAACATGTGGGTATGGTGGGTTCAGAGATGTTGGTGAAGACGTAGAAGGAGAGCATCCTGAGCATGTCATTAAATGTGCAATGTAGCACGTAGTTGCAGATGTAGGTGCACTGGACATTACGAGAAGCATGCTCGCTCCACTCGCATCTCCTCTTTTGTCTCCTCCTCCGCATCCTCCACGGCCCCATCACTTTTGACTGTTTCCAGTCGTCATTGCATTGCTGTGGTGAGACTCGGGTGCATGAGGAACGGATTCCGTGAAGGTAAAGCTTCCCCACCCCGCAGAGGCAACCCACAGCGCCGCGTCAACGGCTTCTTGACGCCTTTCGCGATCGCCGATGGCCTCCTCTGCGCTGCACGCGATGGAGAACCCGGGAACGTTGGCGCGCTCGACATCCAGCCAGCCTCTCCAAGCGGCCACTATGTCGCCGGCTCCGATAGCTCCGATGACCACAGTCCCCCACAACTCGCGTGCGCCGCTATTGTGCTTGCCGTAGAATATCCATTGCTCGGCCGCAGCGACTTGCTCCCGAAGTTGGTTTGGGGAGATACGCTTTCGATCGGCGGGGCCATTGGTGCTGCCGGTGATACCACAGCGCGCCAGACGCTGAACGTATACGTGACGGATGTCGTCGACACCGCAGCAGAGGCGTGTAACGTCAAAGCGGCCTTCTGTGTCGAAGATGAGAACCGTCTTGAAGTGGGGCGCAGAAACGAGGCCCGACACAAGCCGGTAGATGAGCGGGAGTTGACGGCCGGTGACGGCGAGAGGAATCGATTGTGTAGCACGAAAGTTCTTGACGGCGAACGCATTCAGGAGTGGGATGGGAAAGAAATTAGGTCGATTCTTCCTTTTCGTGGGGTTGACGGGCTTTTGTTCTGCGTTGAAGACGTCCAAGACCTATCGAAACACAATCAGCTGTATGACAATGACAAATGAGCGAAAAGATATCTGCTGTGACATGCTGAACGGAGCCTGGTGATGTTTTGATGCAAATAGTCTGGGGGTTTGAGGTGTGTGAGTGGTGAGCTGTCTGGCCCCTCCTCGGACCAAAAGTTTGCGTCGGCCGTTCCCCCAAAACACCCACCCCATCCATCGTCCACCATTTACTCAACCTCACCAGTCCAGACTACTCATCGCCTCTCATCTTGTGGCACACCAACCTCTTCTAGCGTGGTCTCTTTAGCGTCGCCCAAGAGCCTCCTGCCCCTCATCGAGAGCCGCGAATACTTTTTCTTGTCCAGATACTTCTTCATCCTTGCGGTTGGTTTCGACGCCGCCTCTGCAGTCGAGATGACCCCACCCTGCCTTGTTTTCGATGCGTCAGATTTGCCGCGACATGTGCAGGCGGACCTGAGAGGCAAAAAGCGCAAGCTTGAGAGGGGTGCTGATGTCGATTTGTCCAAGTGCGCGTTGCGGGCGATGACGCAGTTTAGATGCACCGTCAAAAACCCCGACCGCAGAGACAGCCCCATTGGATGTTGGCCTGTCATGCGGTTTTTCCGGCAGTAAGTCCGTTCCCTACTTTGTTTAACTTGACGAATCTCATGCCGCACGAAATCGGCGATATGATTCATTCCCATGGAATGCCCAAGATTACTGAACACCTTCAATAGATGCCAGGACAAGAAGGGTACATTTACTGTTGAAACCACAGCATGGGAAGGGATGAATGCTGGAGCCGAAGATGGGCACGCCAATACTTCAGGTCTGCGCAGTACAGATGTCCGCCAGGACCATGGCAGAGATGGAAATGGTGACCAGCGGACGTATCATGAATGGCCAGAGTTGTGGGAGAAATAGAAATGTTCTGGTGCTGGAAAAAGGCAGGCGATCAAAAAGCTACGAACAGAATTCAGGGCCCCCTTTAGAACTTGAAGTAGGTTGATGTGCAGTATAGAGAGACCTGTCAATTCCCTTGGGAGCTTTGTATGTGAGACGGACTTTTGAGTATTTCGTCCTTTGAGGCATTGGTTACAGTATCATTTTCGCGACAAGCAGCACGTCTGACTGAGCGCCTCACACACCTCGCAGCATAAATTTCTGCATGTCACACCCTTGGACCGTTGCCCTCGACGTAAGAATAGTTCTCGACTCGATTTGCTGGTGTGTATGGTACAATCGGGGTCGGTTGACCAGCTGATGAAGCCCGTATCTTGTCTATAACCACGAATGCTCTCTCAATCCCATCGCTGACCGAAGAAAGTGCCCTCGTTTTCTGCTGCCACCGCAGTCAATCGTCGTCGTTGTAGTCATTTACTGCTTCTGGCCACGAGCCTCGGCCTTCTGCTGCTCCAACTTGGCGTAATAGGCATCGCGAGCGTTCGTGCGAGGCATGTGGAAGCCGTACCTGACATATAGTTAGTTCAAGCATGTTTGCGTGAAGCATCGGGCGGATCTATTTCGGTGTTCGCATACCAGTAGACGTTGGCCATGGCAAAGCCGAGACCTGCGATGAAGTTAGGATACTGGTCCCAAGGATGGGTGAGGAACTGCTGGGTAGCGAGCGCATCGATGCATATCCCGAGGATGCCCCATGAAGTAGCGTAATGGGACGGCGCAACTCCAGCAGCGGACCAAAAGAGGGTTTCGGGGAGAACTCACCAAGAGCTATGCCAAGGTCGAGGACAAGATTGCGTCGCAGCATCTGTTGCCCGCTGTTAGCCAACAACTGTTCATGCTCCGTAGGCCCGGCGACTGCGGCTCAAAGTGCTCAATTGATTCGGGAAACGTACGCCCGTGATGGGCTTGACAGCAGTAGTGCCGGCCATTGTGATGCGGAGTTGAGTGGGAGTTGTGAGAGTCGATTAAGTCGAAATTTCGTGTAACCCAGGGTGATTTGGAAATGCTCAAGTCTTCGGGTAGCTCGAATGGTCTGATGAATTCGCGCGATGGAGTTATCACGTGATGTCACATTCTCCCCTTTCGTAGGTGACTTGTTCCTGACCTTCCCGCACTTCTCACATTACCTAAGCCAGGCAGGCCCTGAGTCTTTGAATCCCCCTCCATCTGGTTGGCTGCTGTTTGGGCACATGGTACCTAGATATCCTTACATAAGCGTCCGCTTCATTGTTCTTGGCTCGGTGCAAACGGATCAACTCCGGCTCAGGACTAGATCCACAGAACGACGGCCCCCTCTGCATAACAGATATTCTGATCTAGCAATTTTCTGCGGGAACGGGAATGGCGATGTAGGATTGCTGGTTTATCGTCCAACGCACATAACAGCAGCCATGAACCTCCACCTTCCTGCGAGGAGATTAACCTTTTCCGGTCAGTTTTAAGGATCATGTTTTCCCTTCATAAAGCTGGCTACTTCGACATGACATTGGCGGATCGACCAGCTAATCTCTATCGTCCACTAGCTCCTTCAACCCTTCAATCCATCGCACGACCAACAACGAGGCCTCTCATTCTTCCCTTGCGCCCGGCCACTCAAGTTCGAAGCAAATGGGGCTTCTCTGGCATGTTCGGCCGTAAGAAGAGCAATCCTGTTGAGGATTCCTTCAGCGGTGGCCAGAACCTCAACGACCCCAAGATCCGTGAGCAATTCGCCAAGAAGCAGCAGGCTTCGCTTTCCAATTCTATTTTCGAAGAGGAAGTTGAGGATGCTGTCGCCGAGGGCGGAAAAACTGCCCCCGGGATGCAAAGCTCTGTGAAGACGGCGGAAACTATGTCGTACCGGGTTGACCCCGACCCGCGAGCTCGTCTACGATGGGAGAGGAAGAAAGTCATCCAGATGGTTCGTCGCAACGGCCGCGTCAGCCGCTCTGAGCGCATCGCCCAGACAGAGAAGGAGCTCCAGCATAAGAGTCCATTCCTGGAGACCAGCGTCAAGAAACTTGTGCACCTAGCCCGCCAAGTACAGGGCAAGAGTGTGGATGAGGCGATTCTGCAGATGCGATATTCAAAGAAGAAGATGGCCCGGGAGGTCAAGTATCAGCTCGAAGAAGCTCGAGATCTGGCCATCGTCAGCCGCGGCATGGGTCTGGGTAAATCACATGATCCAATCAAGATTGAGACCAAGGACGGCAAAGCTTTGAGAGTCGACAACTCATCGAAGCTCTACGTTGCTGAGTCTTGGGTGGGAAGAGGACCCTGGAGATCCAAGTCAATGGACTACAAGGGACGAGGCAGATTTGGCATCATTCAATCACCGTCAACTAGTAAGTCCCGACCCGGATCAGGCCCTTTATCGACGTTTATCTTCTTCATATGGGCTGACCAAGCCATTTTTAGGCATTTCTGTCGTGCTGAAGGAGGAGAAGACGAGACTACGCGAGCACAACGAGAGAGAGGCGAAACAAGCGCGGAGGAAGCCCTGGGTTCACTTGCCTGATAGGCCTGTGTCTGCGCAAAGACCTTACTACTCTTGGTAGACACTTTTCACCGTGGCTACAAGACTCCGAGTCTAGATATCTAAAGTCGGTTGGTCTTAACAGAGCGTGCAACACCACTCTCTGGAATTGTAAGAATATGTACAATGAAAGATGCCATGAAAACCATTACGCCATATTTTTCCCGGCTGTAGCCTTGATGTCGCATGTCTATGCGAAGCAAATCAAACTCCTAATTGGTATAATCGCGAGCAAGCTGGGCACCACGCTCCATTCCGCATCCTACCTACGCCGTACACTAAACATTCGTCAATCGTAAATCATAATGTGCTGCCGGCCGCATTCACCAAACGTCTTGTACGCCAGACAGTTTCAGTCAAGGCATCTACCACAGCTTGGCCTGGCACAAGTCCAACTACGATCTCCGGCCATCCCCGTCATGCTGTGACGAGTCCTGTTAAGACAAATGAACGAGTGGCGGTGGAGGGTATAATGATACGCCACTCAAATCATCCGTCTCGGGGACTGGCGTGGAACCATATCCTCATACCTTCGCGACCGCATTTCCAGCTCCGAGTGATTCTTGCCAGTCATGCCCACAATGCCGTAGTCTCTCCCAGAGCCTGGCATCGGTCCTGAGATCTGCATGGAACGTGTCCTGTTCTGCGGCCTTCTCACTAATAGGTAGAGAGCAAGGGCGATTGCAAGGACGCCCACGCCAGCGCCAACGCCAATTCCAATCTTCGCTGGTACTGAGAGGCCTGCAGTATCGCTGGAGAGCTTTCCTGAATCGCTCTCTGAGGCGGAGCCGGATTGCGAGGCCTGGGAACCTGTCGAGGTCGAAGTAGTTGACTTGGTGGTTGATTTGGTATATGTTGACTACAAGAACGTAATGTCAGTTGTGTCAGCCTTTCTGCGGCTTCAGGGGGGAATTTACCATAGTTGTGGGGGCAGGAGTTGAGATTTGCGTAGCCTGGGCAACCTCAGAGATCGCCTTGCTTGTTGCATCTGCCGGTGTCGAGTTGACGGGTTGGGACGACGGTTTCTCTGCACCGTTTGTTGCGATAGTAGTCGCTGGTTGAGGTGGCTCAGATGATGCTTGGGCCGGTGCGGGCGTGGTGGGTTGTGGCGGCGGCGAGGAAGCCGGCTGGTATGCAGGCGGTTGTGTCGATGCAGGAGGAGCCTGAGTCGCAGCTACGGCGTCATGTTAGTGATCGCATTGCTGACTCTGTGGCTTCGAAGGGGCATCATACTTGCACAGAGAGCCGTCACGTAATCGTTCACCTTGGTAGCGACGTCGGCGCCGCAAGACTGCGATGCACAGTCACGAACGCCAAATACAAAATCTTGTTGCTTGCAAAGGCAAGAGTTGTCCTGAGATGCGCAGCCGAACCCCTTTGCAATGACAGTGTTGACACATGAGATCTAACGACTTGAGTTAGCTGAAAGTACAAGCATAAGGAACGTGTCATTCCAGTCGACAAGTCTCAGCCACCACGATGCTCAAGAATTGAAGCAGCATTTTCAAGGCTGGATATGACGTTAAAAAAAGGACTTACACCACATGGCGGTAACGAGTCTAGCTGCGCGTGAGCAGCCCCGAGAAGAACAACAGAAGCCGTGGCCTGAAGCCAGATACGACGCCTCATGATGGCACGGGGTAGCAGAGGTGAAGTCTGGCGAAGGGTATGGAGGAATGAGGGCGTGGCGGGGTGTTTGAACAGCTGAGAAATACAGCCTGACCTGCGAGAAGTGATGAGACACTGGTGTGTGTATGACCAGACCCGTCACAGCGTCACACAGCAGCTCATGGTCTGTCTTGAAGCTGAAGTGGTAATCTCGGAGCTGAGCCGCCCAGAGTTGGAGGTGTTGGTGGCGTATGAGGGCGTCAACGTGGCGAGGCAAGCCCCAAACACGCAGGGGCACGTTTCGAGGAGCCAAGAAAAGAAACAACGAGACAGCAGCTGCCGGTCCAAGTCGAGAGGGGGAGCAGAGACAGACGATATCGACAGGTAAGGAGTAGACAGGTGTCTGGAACAATGAATGACGGTTCAAGTGGTCAGTCGCAAGGCAGTTGTATGTCGAAGGCGGGCGGTCGAATGAGGGAGAGACGAGTCAGACTGGGCGAGAAGAGAAGGAGTCTGAGAGAAGCTGGAAGGAGAAGGGCTGGCCAAGACAAGAAACAAAGGCCAAGGCCAGGCAGGAAGAATGGAAAGAGAGGGAAAAGAGGCGCTCGGCGGGGTGGAAGCGAACGTATGTGAAGAAGCACAAGAAGAAGCTAAGAAGAGAAGAACAGAGGCAAGGTTCCGAGAGGGAACAGGGCCATCCGCAGGAAGAGAACGAAATAGAAGGGAAGAAGCCAGTAAATGAGGCCTAGGAATTGAGAAGGGAGGGCAGAATGGGGATGGAGGGAGGGATATCGACATGTTAAAAAGGAACACTGGAGGAAGGGACTAGACGAGGAGTGGACGGGGGCCCGCCTGCGCCTGCGCCGTGCATTCAATTCTCCTTACTTCACCTTCCTTACCTTGCCCACCTCACCTCCTCATACGGTGCTAGGTAAGGTAGGTAGGGTAAGGTAGGTTGGCTCGCATTTGGGGGCAGGACCTACCTTGGGTAAGGTAGGTAGGTAGAAAGAACAGACGAAGTCGGGGGCCAGGGGCCTGCCGTCTGTAAAGAGACAGATGGGATGGCAGGGGACACCCGAGCCGACGGAAAGGAAGTGGAGGGAAATCGGAGGTCAGGGGGCAGGGGCGGGGATCATGGACACAAGGTACCTATGTACACGGCCACAACTTCCCGACCTTACCTACATAGTAGCTCACCTCACCTTGCGTTCAATACCTTACGGCCCAGTCAAGATATATTGGCGGAGGTGTCAAGTCAATTGATTCCCCTGGCCTGAACTTGGAGGTGCCCTGTGTGCAGCTCCAAGCGCGTCTGCAACTACCAACCCGCGTCGCGTCGACGGGCTGATCTTGCTCCCTAGGTATAAGGTAGTTAGGTGTGGTGTAGCTAGGTTTGGTCTTGTCGCGTCAAACGTGTTCTTGAGCGGCCCATCGTCTAGCGGCGTACGGTTGAGGGCGAACCCAGCGAGGTGCCAAAGGGGGCGACAGAGGATCGTGCTGAACACTAGATAGGTACCTTACGTAGGTGAGGTAGTCCTGCAAATAGTCTGTCTGAGGTGGGCTGGGTCGGCGTTGAGGAGACAAGAGGGGAGATGGAGGGGTTTGAGAACGAGTCCTTTTCTCGGAGGGCCAGCGAGTAGGTTATCCAATTCAAATCGGGAAACGACATGGAAACACTCGACGGGAAAGGAAGGGTCCGACGTGCATATCTTCTTCACCTTGGGCTGGTTCGGCCTGCAGCTGCACCCCGCTGCGGCCAGGGCCGAGGTTTCCCATCGCAGACGATCCCATGACGGTCACGGTCACGATGACTGTCAACGAAGACGACGGGACGGGAGTCCGAGTCCACCCGAAAAAGACCATGATGGTGTCCGAGCGATGGGCCTATGTGGACGTGAAGTGAAGGGAGGCAACTTTTAGGGCGGCAGGTCAAATTCGGATGGAACACTAGGGCGCAAACCGGGGCTCGATCGGATCCGAAAGACCCAAAACTCAAGACCACGCCGCACAGCGAACGTACTGAAAATGTTGACAGCATACATACATATCAGTACGAGGCCGCCGTAAGCGCATAATGTTGGCTCATTTTGCGTACCTTAAGCCGGGCCTCTATAGCCCCAGCCGCCCTATCAACGCACGCGATGCCATCCCCCAAAAGCCAGCCGCGCAAGACGAGCCCCGATCTCTAAAACAGGACCTTGTCGACTGTTGGGCAGGGAAGACACGTCGGGCCCAACCAGCGTGCCGCACCAACCTTGACCAGGGGGCTGGTCCCGTGCTGTTCGTCGCAGCAGCCGCGCTAGGAGGCGCAGCCAAGGCCCGCAGCTTCCTGTCCATTACCTACCTAAGGTACCTTACCTAAGATACCTCCGCCGTACTGCGTAGAGGCTAGATGATCTGCACCAGGGACTCGTGTCGTGCCGCCGTAAGCCACCGCTGACACCTACCTACGAAAGGTAAGGTAAGGTAGTCAGTCCCTCACCAAGGTAAGAAGGAGGAAACGTCTCGACCGACAGGCCACGGCCGAAATGCAACAAGTGCAGTCCATCACTGCCAAGTCCGTCACTCATAATTTTCGCGTGTAAACGGCAGAAATGTGCTCTCATCATCTTCGTCGTTCACCATCGGATGGAAGAGGACGTTTTGTGGCGGGTTACCTGAAATGGAAAGCTGGAAGATGTTCCACCCGACGTTCCACTGGGCTGCATGAAGGGCGGAAACCCGGGGCGGGAACCCCGTTGCTTCGAATAGGTAGATAGGTACCTTCCCTTGAGGCCAATTGCAAACCCCTTTTTGCCCTCTGCTCGGTGCGTGAATGGGCTTTTGTTGGTCTGCTTTGAGGGTAACGTGAGGTATTCAATCAAGCCTCCCGACTTATCTGCCTGCACCTTGAGTCGGCCTACACACACTCGTCCGATAAAGTTGGTGGTCTCGTATTTTAATGCGAAATGCTTCTCGTACTCCTGCAAGCCGACAGTGGTGTGCGTGTGTCTTCCCAACTAATCATTTCGAGCCAACTCCAACTTTTTGTCGCAGCGTTTGTTACCCGATCCCTCTGTACCTGAGCTTTTGAGCTTTCGAATTTCCAACTGCCGCTTCTCAAGTAGACCACAGGCGGCTTCACGCATGCTCCCTCGTCGGTAGCCGTCATGAACTCGCTTCGGATTTCCATCAGTATCGTGCTTCATCACATACCAAGGACGCATGGGTCAGCTAGATCAGCCGGCTTGCTGTGTGCTTGCGCGCAAGCTTGAAAACTCGACGCAAACGTATGCCTATGCCTATACGGATACTGCAGTGCAGCATTGCGGACGCGCTGTCCGATGCCAGCATCCCCTGCGCATAAAGGTGCTGGAGCCAGTGCAACATCAGACTGGGGCACTGAGGAGGTTGGCAGGGCTGATTAGCGACACCTGCAACGGTCGCCGGCCTGTGAGCCCTGTACCATCACCATGGGGCTGCCCCCATTTCTGTCTCGAGTTCGATGGCTGAGCCGCTCGGTCAATTTAATTCGTCATGCAACGCGTTTCCTGCCGATGACCGCGGAAAATTTTCTGAAGGACGAGCGTCTGACAACAAACAATCGCTTAGACCGAGAATCTTTACTTGCAAGCTTGCGTCCGGGCTCGACGCCTCACAGGCCACTGCGGTCTGTTGGAATGGAATAGCCACCAATAGTCTTATGGAAACCTCTGTCGGGCCGGTAGAACAGACTTTCAGGCACGCAGGCCTGGCACATCTGCCATTCAAATGCTCTCACAGGTAAGCAGTGGTTGACTTGGGCCAGTCTCGGCAAGACAACATATGAAATGTGCATCCCTGTAGGTTTCGTGTCAAGTCGATCCTGAGCCGGTGTAGATCCGAAGACCAGAGCCCATTGTCCGGAGCGGCGGGGCTAGCCGGATCGAAGAGCCGCACTTGCTCCGCGACGCCCGAGCTCTGGACGAAGCACGTCTGCAGACTTGATTTCCTACCTGGTTCCGTTTGAGCTATCGAAAACACTCTTGGAAGTATCGCATTGATGATTTTGCTCTCGTGCAATGAACAGTCCTTGTCACGCTGCGATGCACACAAAAATATCTAGCCTAGGTCCCCAAGCACGATGTCTCAGCTTCTTCTGTCACTGAATTTTGTTTTTTGTCCCAGCCAGGAAATCTTCCAGCTCACATCTTGAGGATGAATGTATGCGTATGCGCAAAAAAAACATATGTAACGAAATGAAAAATAGGATTGGGGTTGTTGGAAGAGGATAAATGTCATGCGTCGGAAAGCTGGTAATGACGGACGCTTTGTCATTGTAAAGCATTCCTTCCATCCATCTTACCTCCCGTAAACTCAGTTGAGGGTCCTGGTTCGGAGCCGGAGCTAGTTCCGGGCAAGCGTCTATGGACAGACACTTTAATGCTTCTATTGGGATCGGCGGCTTATATAAGGTAAGCCGGTCAGAAGTAGGTACGACTTGCCAGTATCAGTGAATGCGGAGGGGCGTGACTAGCTTCATTAAGATACCTAACTACATAACTACCTCTAAAGTAGCTAAAGTAGGAGGAGCTGCACAGTGCAGTCTGATGGTGCTGTGCTGAGAGAAGACGGTTTGGCGATGAACTAATGACCTTATGTTGTAGAGAGAGCTAGCGCTGGAGATCTCTCGCGTTACTGATTATAGCTGGCTGCGTCAGCTTGGTTTCTTCTTCTTCTTTTCTCCCTCTCCCTCTGTCTCTTCTTTTCACTTCTGGGATAAGGGTAATAAAAGGGGATGAATACCGCATAGGGAGAAGAATTCATGCAATGGAGTTAGATGATTTCACATACGAATATATGAGGGAGCGAGTTGTGTCTTTTTCTTGTAGAATATAGAACGAATAGGTTAAACGGCGCTGCTGCAGACGTAAACGCGATGATGTCTTGCCTAATCTGAGGTATTAGCTAAGATAGATAAGATAAGGTTTAGCTACTGAGGCTTTTGAGTACCTACTTTAAGGTATGATGTCCTCCGCTAGATTACCTGAGGGTTTCTGGAC